CCCACCCAGGGGGATAAATATCTCCTGCTCCCCACCAGTCACACAGAACTGATGAAGCCTGTTAGATGAGAGGTGAAAATGTTCTACCTAAAACTATGTCTAGATGATTTCTTCTACATTTTTTCAGCAATGCTTCCAGTGTGTTTACCAGTGGTAGGGTTATAAAGCAAAGTTCAGCCTGTGCAAGTTAACAGAAAAGTAAAGATACTATATTATATTTTAAAATAAATTGCATACTGTTTACTTCCTTGGCTGGTCTCAACTGAATAGCATCAGCTTATGATAATCATATGAGATCACCCAAGGAATTGTTATTTATTCCAGTTTGAATGCATCATCAACAGTAAAATCAAGTGTGTGGGTTGCTTAAACATCTGTATTATTTATTAGCTGATATCTGTATTATATAGGATTAAAATAATGAATTGTGGAAGAAAAAATGTCTGACCTAAAGTTCTGATGCAGTTACAAAACAACACACATCAGTTTTGAGACTCATTTTCTTTATTCCTTTTATAATTTCAATGATTTGTAAAATTTAATGTCAACCAACATAGAATTCTAATTTTATCTCAAAATCATGTGCCAAAATAATTTCCTTTCTTGAGAATAGTCCCTTCAGAATTCAACTCAAATGTGTAGCATCTTAAATGCATGTCAAAATTTTAAGGGTTCGCACTGCAAAGACTTAAAATGACTGGGGCTTGTCAGTTGAGGGGGGGCAGTGGGTTGGCCATTTTGTTGATATTAATTGCTTGATGCAACCAAGTTCTATGTAAATGTTTGTTTTGCTTTTGGAAATATGTCAGAATAAATATGTGCCAGACAAACCTAGCTCCGGGATTTAATTACTCTAAAGCCACCATGTGTAGAATTTTAATTCTTTTTATTACAAATAGTGCATTCTTTTTGTCAGACATTCTGTGTCACTGGCCTGACATTTCAAAGATACTGCAAAAACACACACCTGTGACCTTCCAAATGAAGCTCATCATCCAGGAACCCCCTGGCTAAGAGCTTGTTCATATGAACAAATAATTCATGAGGTTTCTATCAGTAGTGTGGTGGTGTCTTCGAAGGTGGGGATACTCTGGACTTCAAACTACCTCTGTGCCTCCACATTCATGCATCTGTAATGATCATCCAATAATATAATATATAGTAGAACAGTACAACACTCACAGGACCACTTTTTTGAATTAAGAGTGGCTTAATTTTACCTTGTTTCTGCCATACTTGTGCATTTTCATGATATTTCCATTGCACAACTTTTGCTCCTCTCTCTTGTAATATTGCTACATTCAGGATTTGAATACTTGAAAGAGACATTGTTACATAATTTTACTTGTTTCATTTTCTCCTGATGTCATCTGAGACATTGTGTTAAAAGCGCCTTAGTGTGTCTGTTTCACATTTGTTATTATGTGAGCTATGAATCTTGGGGGTTATGGAACAACAAGCGTAAGGGAATTTGCTTAGTTTGCCCTTAAGGCAACACTTCTTTGCAGACTTAGTGCAGTTTAACCAAGCTGCTTTGGGAGCAGGCATCGCCTTAAAGGCTAAAGTCAAGGGACAAAAGTCTGTGCATAGCAACCACTTCGCACTCCACTAAACAATGTAAAATCATTGCCTGCTATCATCCTCGGCAAGATGTGCACAGAAATGTATCCCCCCTGCCCAGAGGTGAATATACACTGTGTACTGTACCTGCATATATGCATCTCTATACCTCTAGTTTCTATGGTAACAAATCCTGCACCAGTTAATTGTTTATGTAGTGTTCTTAGCTAACCTGTCTCTGGGTCACACTGATGCTCACAGGGGTCCAGCAGGCGTCGTCCACACAGCTCACTGACCCAGGATCCACTGGCATTCTGCTGGTAGTACAACAAGATCTGGGCTGGGTTCAGCCAGTCTGAGGCATCTAACTGGCTCCCCTGCAGCAAGATGAACCTCGACCCTATGGAGGACAGAAGCGGGAGGGGTGAAGAGACATAGGGGAGAAATGAAGGATGGGTAGAGGATTAAAGAGAGGGAGGAATGGAAAGGAAGCAAAGGGACATGGAAAGTAAATACATACTGTAGATAAGCAGAAAATAATGAGAATTAATGGAAAAGAACAGTAGCTACAGAAAAAGCACACATTAAACATTTTACAATGGTCCTTGATGTTTTTCAACATTTATTAAAAATTTGAAAAGAAAAAAGGATAGAATGTGTTCGACCTTAGATCTAAAATGTCTTCAGCCAAATGAAAGACATCAAACAGAAAACTTTACTGAGGTACTTCAGAGGGGACAAAAACAACTCTTCCTGTCAGAAAACTTTCAAATAATAAAATAGCTAAGGACCTATTAGGCTTCAATTTGAACCTGACACTAAAAACACTGAATTAAACATGACAAGCACCTTTTAGTCATTACAGTGATACCTGAAAAAATTATTTAAGTAAGTCAGCACTAACCTCCAACAAAGACAGCAAACTCTGACAGCTACAGAAAATAAATACTTTGCCAAATAAAGGTGATTAACCTTATTGTTATTATTATTATCCTTATCCTAACCCAAGCAGGCTCAGTTAATGCCATCTGAAAACTAGAGGTAACTGTGCAAATGACCAGACACATCTTGTTTGTTTAATTGCGTAGTGAAAAAATTGATAGGAAGCTTTGCATCAATTAACATTAATCATTTTGATGTTTTTGGCAATCACAAGCATTCATTATTATTATTATTATTATTGCCATTGTTGTTTATGCATCATGAAATGGATTCTGTTATTAAAACAAAATGCTTTTTGGATGTTAACAAAAATGTAAAAAATAAATAGAAGATGTTAATAAATAAAAAGGAGTGTACAAACTAACTTCTGACAAAAACTAACAAAAGAAAAACAACAACAAAAAACAAGCCCTTTAGAATATAAAATTCGAGTCAGCTTTTTTCAGATATTCATCACCTTAAGTGTGACTCTCACAGGAGGCTGGAATCAATGTAGCAGTCACCAAGATTAATAGCTGAGTGTGTGCCACTTCAGTCAAGGTCTGAATAGGGTTGTTATGCAGAACTTCAGCAATGTCACACCAGATATTTATGAGTAGAAAATGTTTCATAAATGAAGAAAAATCAAAACTGAAAGAAAAAAAAACATCTAACCATTGAGTCTTCAACCAAGACCTTAGTAATATTAGTATTTTGGCATTTTTATTCTTTTCACACTTGACAGCAGTAGTAGGGAGTTCACTCCCATACTATGTATCATGGTCCTAAGTGGCCATCTCCTGACAGCTTGACATTCCAGTCACTAAGCAGCTCATAAAGTTTGAAGAATATTGAGAATATAAATTCACAGGGTAGCAGGCAATCTTCTTGTCTTTTTCTGCTTTTGAATTTTCTGGTGGAAGTGAATTACGTATGTTTGGCAGGTGCAAAGTAACCTCAATTATAGTGCTGCTCAGAGGAAGTGATGTCAGTGCATAACTAAGACTCCCATTTTGTTAAGTTGTTTTGGTGTAATCATTTAATAGAAGATATACGTTCCTTGGTCTTTGTCACTCGTGTTTTTAGCCACAGTAGCAACATGGTAGTAGTGTTTGGCAGTGTGAGACGGTCGGTCACTGCTATCAGGGAGCTGTCAGTGCAGACTGAAATAATCCCTCAGCTGTTGAATATACTGGCATGGAATTTTGTTCAGACATGGTTCCCAGAGGATGAAATCTAATGACTGGTGACCCCCTGACCTTCCCTGTAATGCTACCAAGAGGTTGACGTGTGTGGTTTTAAGTGAACATTTCAACAACTGTTGGGTGAAATTTTGGACAAAATAGCCTGTCCCCCTCAGGGTGTATTGTGATAACTAAGGTAATCTCAAGTTTTCGATCATGGGCTATCATCAGGTCAAAATTTGAATCTTTTCTGGTGAGTTTGTATTTTCAACATCTTCAAATATTTGTGAGTGACAGAGAATGAAACGTCCAGTTTTCAGCAGAAAGTGGACATCCAGTGACAGTCCTGGACTTGGACCAGGAATGACGTGTAATAAAGATCCCCAGCTTCTATTGGTACAGGCCAATAGACCACTATGCCACAGGGACACCCCTAAAGATAGGATTTAGAAGTACTTGGATACAATATGTCTCAGACAAGACACATTTGGTAACAGAAAACCTATTCTCACAGAATACAATGTGAGATGATAAAACTTGGCCACATTTCTATTTTGAACAAGTTAGTCATATGTAGAAGGTTGTTCTGTCCATTGTTGTACAGTATATATTGAATGGCAGCAGAAATTGTTTTCCTGTGTAAGCACACAAACATCTCCAGATGAGAGAAGAAAGGTGTGACTTTACATTTCTGTGCTTTTCTTCACAGTATTTGAAGGCAGACACAAGCACAGCTGTTGGCATTGATAGCTTCTTTCCCCAGTAGTAGAATCCAGATTTTTATCTGATTCACCATGACATCAAATCAAGTCTGATGAGATTGTGGAGACATTTATGGAAACATTCTAAATCGATTGCAGTTTTGTAATTCAACAGGCGAATTCACCATCTTTCATCTCTCTTTCAAAGTTCCTTCCCTAGACTCCTCCCTGGAATTTTAATATTTCTCTGGCATGCCAGAGAATGCCACTGGAAAGCAGTAGTTCTCCCAATCAAATCATACCTCCAGATGATAGATGAGTGAGCTCAGTCACAGTCTATAATATATCTGGATGGTTAGCTCACTCCCATGACAGCTGAAAAATGCCAATGAGCAAGCGCAGCTAGTGAATGACCTCTCTGAGACTTTTTTTTCCTATAGGTGGAACACTTAAATTCATTAATAAGGTGGTTCAACATATCAGAAAGTACAAGGACAAGAGTGATGGAGAGCTTGCTGCAGGTGGTCTCTGTAACCTGGCCTCAATGTGCTCCAATGCTTTGAGGGCACATCTGTTTTGTGGTCTCACATGGGAAGACTGGGCAGACGGTGGTAAATGGTAAATGGTCTTATACTTGTATAGCATTTTTTCTATGCATTGCAGCACACTGAAAGTGCTTTCACACTACTTGGCCATTCACCCATTTGCACTCCCAAGCACTCACACATTCACACACCGGTGTCATCACCGGGAGCAACTGGGGGTTCACTGTCTTGCTCAAGGACATTTCAACATGTGGACTGGACAAGATGGGAATCGAATGACCTGCTTTACCTCCTGAGCTACAGCCGCCCCAAGGGGGTCATCCTGGCATTTAATGGACCATTGTCTTTGAGAGAGCAATCCAAATCAGCAGCTCAATTGAAAAGCACAGGCACACAGTTTGAGGGATATAGTGAGCTAACCTCAGGGAGTTGCAGAAACATGCCAGTTCAGCACCCTGGGGGCTTGGAGCACCCACAGAAATGTGAGGGGGAAAGGCTGCATCCATAACCTGAGGCTGGGGTAAAGCCTTACCATCAGCAATGAGGTGCTCCGGCACGTGTAGGATTACCCGAACTGAGAGGCTGCAGGAAAGGTGAGAGGAATAAACCAGGCCGATCACACAGCTGATGACACTGATCAGAGTCAGGGTGGTCTTACTGATGGGACTCCGTGGAGAACCTGCTGTTGGGAACAAAAACACAGAGGAGGGGGGGGACAACAAAGGGTGGAGATATGTGAAGCAGTGATAACACTTTATTGCCCCACAACCCATCCATACCATAAACATACATGCACAGAGTCACACAAACACATACCCACGCTGCCTACACAGGGAATAATTTCACAAACAGGGCAAAAAATGGGTTTAGTGCCCATGAAAAGGACCTTTGGATCAAAACTCACAAAGCCTTTGGGATGTTTAGACTAGGCATGGCTCGGTGGCACAAAAATAAGGTTTACCTTTGAAGTATATTAACATCCACACTGAGATGTGGGGAAAAGGGCCTAAATAAAATGGTTCAGAGGTTGTTTTGTAACCTCCCTTCCATCTCTGCTTGAGTGAAAATGCTTCCCTTATTTCTTTTACTCCAGAGTGTAACACAAACAGTGTTGAAAATAACCTCATACACACACACACACACACACACACACAACATCACAAAGTGACCTTGACTATAGCCGCCCACACTTGTTTGAAGTGGTTATTTTTTCACAAGCAGAATAGCTCTAGATTACATTGTCACTTTTAAATTACTCTGGCAGAGTTTTCTCATTCAAAAGCTGCCCAAGGCAATCCTTTAGACAAAAGCCACAGTAGAAAGCTGACCTATTGTGTTATGTATAAAGCTAGTTTATTTAATCAAGTTAACGTACTGTGAAACTGGATGTAGGGCACAATTTAATTGTTTTATAAATAATTTATATTTTCAGATTTTTACAATGCTAAAAATATCTCTCGCCAGATATTATTATTAATAATAATACAGGAACATTTTTAGAATTTTAGCATCTTCATTCTTCTGTCATTATTCCACTTGAAGAAATGCTTTTGTCATCCCTCATGAATCATCCTTTCCTCTGGATCTAAACAACACGCTCAGGGCAGTGTTGCTTCACTTCATTCTATTCTTAAACCTTGCTCTAATTAAGGGTGTTGGCTGCACTTCTGGAGGCTTCGCTGTGTTTGTGACACCTGTGCACATGACGGGGGAATAATTGGCTTGGAGGCGTTGTAACGCCCTGCAACACCTTCTGACAGCAGCTATTATTGTGAGGGCATTGTATCTTTATTTATTTATTTATTTATGTATTTGACTCTGTCTCTCTTCCACACCTCATTACTGTACATCAAAAGCTTCAAGGACATGGCATGCTGATACGTAGATAAAGTGTGCTGCACCAACTCACTTTGGCAGCATTTGTGCCAGATCCGCCTAAGAAATAATATTGGTGTGTAATATTATTTCAAAATATGGTAATCTTTTTGCCTTAAGATGCAATCAATATTGAAATATTGTCCACTGAAAACCTCTGATCTCATCATCTTGTGTGATTTCAGTCAACAAGATTATATGCTGATGCACTGAGATCAGTTTCACATGCTCACAAACACTCTTCACACACCTATGTACTGTATATACACTGCATATACGCAAATTCTGTGTTTCCTTTAGGTGTCAAAACTATGAGCACACACAACACTGGAGCCATCTATCTGCTATATGGACTGTAAATGTTACTTGTCATGCGTCGTGGCGATGGCAATACCATCAGACGGCGGGATAAACTGTCTGTAGGTGTATGAGTCCTCCTTACCCCCTGAGCCCCACGCGCTGTTGGCGTTACCATTTCTCATACCTCGACTCCGGCGGCGACTGCGGTTTGGGTCGGTGTAAAAGGCCAGCTGAGGCTCACTGTCTGCCTCCGTCCCAGAGTCCCCGTCTGGGTTCAAGAAAGTTGAGCCCGCTGTTGGATTCACACAAAAACACACCACTAATGTAGAAAAAAAAAAAGAGCTCTAGACCAGTGGATTTTAGCCCCAAACTGGCATCACAGAGATGGCACTAGAGGGCAGTCGGAATGGAAATGAATCCACTGCTGGATTCAGTGTGGACACAGATCAAAGCTTTCTTCATCAATCATTGAAATGTAGGCTAATAGAGATGGAAGCCAAGCAGAACGTGAATGGTATCTTGCATTAACAGAAAATACTGATTTAACATTGCTGAAAACATCTGGTTTAGCTGTTTCATCTATGGACCCAACAACAGTGCATTAATGCATGTCTTTAAGTACACTTAAATAAGACCTTTCATGATCTTGGAGAAAATGAGGCCAGACAAAAGTCCCCAACAAGATGTGGGTGCAGAAGTCGACACAATGCACAAAGCTTCTTGAGTCTGATCTGTCATTTTTTTTAACCTGAATAGGTTTTTACTACAGTATAAGAAGTCCTTGGGGGAATGCAATATGAATGATTTGTACCTCACCTTCAGCTGTTTGCTCAAACTCTGCAAGGTTTGCCTTGCAGAGTGAACCTTTCACTATAGATGTTGCCAGTCTTCACAATGGAAGCGAACTGATATAATAATGTAAAAATAATAATAAGCATGATGTGCGAGTTTGAGCAAATTTAAAACCTTCCTCATAAATAAATGACATGTCATTCATTATGTACTGTAAACAGACTGTACCATTTATGAAGCCTTAATAAAACTGCTCTTTATAGCAGTCAAATGAATGGATGGTCCTAATTTGAACAGATACATAAAATTCCAGTTTTTATCACACTAGGATTTTTTTTTTTCCTGCAAGAGCAAAGTCTGGACAGCTTCAGATCCAGTCTTTACACAGTTTTCCTTGGACACAAATCTGTTTTTTAGTGTGTTTGGTATTTTCCTGCCATTACCGTCTTTATGCTGATTAGGCAGCACACTGCAAGTTTGGTGCTCATTTTGACTCAAAATTGCATTTGCAATAAAACCTACTTAAACCATCTTTTACCACAAACTTTGATGCACTGCAATCTTCCTGATGAGTAAGCAGGCTGGGAAGCACGAGATCAGTTACTGAAATGCTGTATATTTTAACAGCCACACCAGCTTAAACATAACCCTTAAATCCACAACTGATGTGCCGGAATTCACTGTGAATAATTGTTTAATGAAATTATCAGGATTAAGATATTTCATAATGTGTGTGATAATTCAGAAAGATATTTTTAAAATAAGATAAATAAACTAGTTCTTGGTATGTGGCTATGTACATGGATATGGTCAAACAGTGATGGTGCATGTCAGGACGCACTATCTGTCCTTATAGGACGCATACATGCACAAAAAATGGTAAGTCATATTATAGCAAACTACTGAGTGACTATTTATGTCCAATACTTGTTAATGGAGTACATAATTGGTAGATTAAGAAAATAGAGAAAAAGAATCTTTCATCATTCTTATATTTCTCTATCTAACATATTTCCATGTCAACATCAGTGACATCAGACACAGTCAGGGGCCTGTATCATGAAGTGAGCGCAACTGGTCTGGCTCTCCTGGGGTTATTTGACTTTACTAAACCTAACACTGAGTGTCCTGGATAAGCTGCATCAAACTGAGTCTGTTCGTTTGGCATTTTCTGTCTAGTTATGAGCATGTTCATGTGAAAATGTTTTTAATTAGAAGCAAGATTACCAAAACCATTAGTGAAGTACTTAAAATAATGAGATGGAACAGTGATACCTGCAGGAAATTAATTTATAACCATGTTATTCTGAACTGCAGTGATGGAAGCCTGTAAAATATGATTACTCAGTTTTTCCAGTGATCTGATTTGTCAGCGGTCAGGCTGTTAACTGGTTTTGATCTGATCCTGTGAACTTAACCTTCTCCGGAGCAGGTTAGCCTGGCAGCATAAGTTACCGTGGTGATCCACCCTGATTAAAATGAGCCAGCTTTGTGATACCAAAAAACCTGAGTTAAACCCAAAGCTAGCTGGATAAGCTACTAATCCTGCTTTGTGATACAGGCCCCAGGTTTCCACGGTGCTTAAAGGGGTGAGAGGAGCCTGTCCAGATTCCTCCCATTAATAATGTACGGCACCTCTCTTCCATGTTGCGCCTGGCTACAGTCAATATGAGGCAACACTGGTGGTCACCAAAAGCTGTGAAACACAGTTGGACACACATAGTGTATGCACCTTTACCTGGAGTTTTAATAGAGCAAATTATGTTCTCATTATTATAAGCAAAGTTGAGATCGAATGTGGCTCAGTCACACCAGCAGTTAATACAGCAATTTTTAATACAGCTGATTCATTGCAGTTGAATCATCTAAATCAGTGAAGTTAACTGTGAAGGGCAAGAGCAAGATCCAAATTGCACAGTGATGTCAGTGGCATGTACGATCCAATTTTATATAGGATAAGGATGATCACCTTTATTTGTATGTTACATACAAGGAATATGTTTCCGGTACAGAACCAAGGCAGCCATCTGCGGCGCCAACTCAACCGATGGCTCTAACCATCGGGGGTAACTTGGGGGTTCAGTGTCTTGCCCCAAAACACTTTGACACATGGACTGCAGGCACCGAGATTCGAACCTCCAGTTGGGAGATGACTGCTCTACCCATCGAACAACATATAGACCTTTACTGCCAACATGTCCTTGCATTGCATTAATGCATAAATTAAATGAATGAACTTGTCTTGTTAGTACCTGAGACTCCCAGTATCAACTACGTTACCAAGCACTTTGAAACACCCATTTTTGCAAATATATGCAAATTTATCTCCTTGTGGTACTTTCTGCCATGATTTGTGTAATTCATAAAATGGAGATGTAATTTTGTATTTCATGACTTTTCTATATAACGTATTCAGTCAAATGCAACCACCTATTTCAAACATAGCTTTGCATAATAAAAGGCACTTCCAGAAATAGGAAAACAAATTTTTGAAAAAATAATTTTGCTTACTAAAAGTCATCCATTTTATAATGACACTCCCTATTTCTGGTTCAACTGTGGAAGTGTTGACACTTAAGTTGGCTAAAACAATCATACGTACTACAGTACCTGAGTTGATTAGAATAGCACACTCAGATTATATAGCAATGAAATTGTGCTGTCATAGCTCAGTAATTATTTACTGTGTCCTTTAAAGCTGTTGGTGCTGTACTATTCCAATGGAAGCACTTGTCCTTCATGACTTGATATAGAACTATCTAAACAATTAGGAGTAAATTAATAGCTTGAGACAAAGGTAAATTAATGAATGGCATTTAACAGCTCTTGCCAACAGCCTTTTACCAAAAAGAGATATATTAAAAATGCTTATTTTTCTGAAGTGGTGATAGTTTACAAAGTTTGGTATGTGCAGCAGTAAATTGGGATGCTGTATAGTCCATTTTTTTTAGTGTATTTTATTTTTTTATTTTGTCTGATTAACAGTCTAAAACTCCATAGTATTACATGTAAAATTACATAAAACTGAGGACACTTTAAAGTCTTAACATTTAAGTCTAATATTTGTTGTTTTGTTGTTTTTTTTTTGCTTCATAGCTCACAGAAAAAAATGATCATCACTCAAGAATTTCCTGCAGGATGATTACATCTTAATTTAAAAATAATGTAAATCAACATTTGTCCAACGATAGCGACAACATTTGCAAAAAAGTCTTTAACAGCTGGACAGAGTTTAGTTTTATAAATAGGTGGCAGTATCTGAGCTAACATTTTGTTGCTTGGTAAAATTTAGTGATCAAACTGAGTAAGTGACAAACTTTGTCCATTAAAACAAAATACAGATGGAAAATGATACATGATATATATTCAGTAGGTGAGATGGAAAACATTAAGACTAGTAAACTGCTAAACACACACAAGATGTATATGGATATGGTGTTTTTCTAGAAAAACACCAACATGTCTTTTTTTTTTTAAGTATTTTTGCTACAAAGTGAACACATTTTTGGTAAGTGGGGGTATTTTGCACGGTCCTCATTTTCTGAAACAGCCTTTTCAGGGTTAAGACTTGATTTTAGAGTTCAGGTTACAATTAAGTTTAGTCTAGGCTTAGGGTAACGGTTAGGTGTTAGGTATTTAGTTCAGATGGTTAAGTATTAGGGTAGTGGGCTAGGAAATGCAATATGTGTTCTTACAAAGATAGAAGTGCAAATATATGTGTGTGTATTTAACAAGGAAGAGTGCAGGATAAATGTAAATTGGGAGCTCTGTTATGAAATAATCCTATTCATACTTTTCAATGATTCTCCACTTTGCATTTTGATGAGAAAGTAAATGGAGCCTCATTGATCTGTCATTTAAAGCTGCATTATAATCTTAAGGACGAAGGCAGGGTACAAAGCAAAAGGATAAACAAACTGCTCTTACAGTACATGTCCAAAATGCATTTCAAAATGTGCTTTAGCTGAGGCATTAGCTATATTTAGAGAGCATGTTTTGAAGCTTGTCTTACAAGCGTTTGCGCAACTCATAAAGTGAGGGGGAAAATCCATCAAAGCAGCAAAGATTTGCTGCCTCGGCAGGATATATTGAAATAAAATTCATGCTAGCATTGCTCAGTGAGAGAGCTTTAAAAATCCCCAACCAAGACACAATGCTTGATTAAATTGGAGAAGAACCCTCAGAAACAATGAGAAAATGAACACACAGTTGGCAGCAATGTCAATGTGACAAACAGAGAAGGACTTTTTTCATGCCAGTAGCTTCATCAGCTTTTTATATTGTTGGTTTTAGAACAATATGCACTAAAAATATGAATGCATAGTGTAAATATTATTGGCAGCTGTGACTATCTGACAGGACAGATGTTTGTGTTGCTTTACTTTGCAAGTGGGACTGTTTTTTTTTTTTTTTGATGACACCATTGTTGCAGCAGCATTTCACACTATTGATTTAATAATGAAGCAATACTCACTGCACACTTTCTCTCAGAAATGTTTA